AGTGAAAGTTAGCAGAGGAAAAGATCAGCATTGTCAGGTTAAAAATCTGTAATAATTCTGAGGTCATTAACAGTGTTTTCCTGCCATTATAAGGTGATGAGGCTCAAACCCGCTTGGTGCTGCGCCATGAATGTAATATTGTGGCGAGCATTCAAACTAATCACATGAATTTTCCCAGATCAAATGGTTATAATTCAAACCCAGTAGACTTCTTTAGCAAGTTTAGCTTTAGGGTGTAGTTCATTCAAAATCTGCTCTAGATTTTCCAACTTATTATTCACAGATGTGGTAATAACAATGTTCTTGTGGAATTTCTTTATTGTAAAATAAAAAAATCTTCTTGGGGGAAGACCCTCAATCCCCCAACACAAAAATACCTTCTTAATTTTTTACATTATACCAGCCTGTGAACGCATGTTTTAAACCCCACAGACATTATTTTTTATTATTTGTAAATGTACCTGTTTTGCACCTGTCTCGACTTCTCTTCTCCCTGCACTCACTCACACTCGCACCTCTACCTTTGGTCTCTTACTGCAAACTATCCCCGGCTTTCCCCGGTTATGTTTTATAAAGTCGCCGAAAAGACACAGAACTCGTCTTTTTTTCAGGATTTTTCCACCCGTGATCCTTTTTCGCTGCACCATGTATGCAGCATGCCAGCCTGTTAATTACGTAACTTACCGATATCATCATCCATCCCGATGTTTCATTGTTGACATTGTCCAGTGGCAATTTTGTAGACATCACCCAACCCTAATTTGAATACATTTATTTACTCTGCAAGTAAATTTGTGATTTCCTTTGTATGTTTCTTTTATTTTGATGTTGTGATATAGGTATTAAATTTCATTCACAGTGGTTTTAAAAAGGTCTTAAATTTGACTAGGTGAAACCTCCAGAAACCCTGGATCTCCATTCATTATTTTAAAATTATGGATAAATGTCTTGCTTTGCATCAAATATTGTCTGATTTGTTATACAGCAGAATCTGCTCACTTCTAAGAGATTGTTTGAGAAAGACTAAATGTGTCATCATAGATGGTTATTCTCTGTGCAGCTGGGTCAAACCAGTTTTGTCTAATGCTGCACAGGTCAGAGGCATCTTTCACAGGAGAGACTGTCTCTTACAAGCCTGCAGTGGTATGAAGTCATTTACCAGCCTTTCATTAAGTTTCTTGTGTTATATCGTGGTTTGTCTATATGCAGCACCAGGACAGATGATCTCTTGCATAGTGAATGTGTCTCTGCTCTGATGATTGTTGACAGTCTCCATATCCACTGCACGCTTCGCTATCTCCTAGTCAATAGGCACTCAAAATGTCCATGCCTGCTGATTGAATTGTCAGAGCTGGACAAACAGAGTTGCAGGCATTGTTAAATTAAAATTTAATCAGTTCATTTTGTTTTCTCCATCATTCAGACAAGAGACAACAAAATGTTATAAACCACTGCCACCGCCATTGACCAAAACAGTAAAATATTGTTGTTCCACCTTTCAAAACCTTCCAGCATGGCTAAAATGCATTGCTTTGTGTTCGTCTTGATGGCTTAGATATGATACCTGATATCCACTGCAGTGCACTAATGTATTCCCTTTCTGTTTTATCGACCAAGGCCATTTCCTGCCTACCTAAATATTTTTACCCTCTGCGTGAACATACAGAAAAGCAAAGATCACTTGTAAAGTTTTCACACAACGGATTGCCAAAAGTACCTCCTCTGACATAACAGCAGAAGATAATGACGGAGCCCCTCTGACTGCCAATGACTCATCCTCGTTTTCTGCAAACTGATTCCACAGTGTGTCAAAGATACCCTTTTAGATTGATCATTTTACTTTTTTCCCCATTGTTTCTATTTAAGATGTTTCTAAAAAACTCTCTTCAACCTACATGAATTGATTTCACAAGCTGTACAAAACAGTATTGATACAAAGTTGCTGACCATAAAAAGAAAACGATGGGCTGGAAGACTCTAAAATGCTCTGTAGAGCAGAGAGGAAGGGTGATAATTCTCCCATTGCACTTTTTTTTCTCACATTGCAGTCATTGTGGTTCATAAAAAAATATAGGTATTTGCAGCTTTAAATATGGGTAGAATCCATATTTTTGTTTTTTACAGTATTTTGCATTTGAGCCCTAGTCCGACAGTGATTCTGCAGTCTCTGTTAACTGTCTCCACTTTAAAAAGCTTTCATAATCTTCTCTGCAAAGTTATGTGCAATCATTTATTAGATTTGGCATTTGGTATTCCATTATAGCCGAACATTTTCCAAGGTATGTGATACGTTTTTAGATTAATTTCCTACCTTCAGAGCAACAGCTGGTTTCTCTTCATGCGGTATGCGGTATAGAAATAAACTCTGTTCAGGATGCTAATCCATCACAAAGAACACAGCATCACATTAAACATAATGCACAGTTTTATTTTTGTGAATGTGACATGGTTGAATTACCGTGCAGTTGCAGTTTTGCAGTTTTTTCTCGTGTCTTGTGTTCACTTTTTAAAACATTGATTTAAAGGTGTTGCATTTCAGTTTTTCTTGCATTTTCAAATATCAGTGAAGATGGAGCACTAACCTTGGCTGTCTTTTTCACATCTCCACCTCGTCAAAGCGCATGAAAGCCTCAGAGTCTTCATATTCATGCTTGACAGCACAGAATTCCTGGCACTGTACAATTTTGCTTCTTTTCATACTGGGTTTGGAATTAAACCCCAACACTTATGTGAGCTTACCCATTTCTAAAATTCTGCTGTATTTTGTGTCCTATTTATTTTATTGAAGGTCTATTGGTAGAGCTGTATGCTTTTGTTTTCTATTATACAAACAGCCACAGACACCGAACAAGGGAAACCTACAAGATAACATAGTGAGCATAGTGTAGAATGGTAGACATAGACAATAGACAACAAAAAACACCCACAGCCGTACTTACCCAGTAAAGAAGTGCATAAATATTTGCTCTCCCTTTTGGAGTCATAAGGCAAATCTTGTTTTTAGACTAGTGTGACTTACAGTTCCCGAGGATCACCTCCAACGTCAATAGCAAATAAATGTTAAGTAAATCTGCTAAGAAACCATTTTTTAAGGGACGCCTTTTTCCTACCAGTACCAAAATCATCAGGTTTTCTTCAGTATCACTGTAATCCATTGATAGTCATCTGTACACCCATTAGTAAATTGTAAACATGAACTGGTAATAGCTAATTTAGTATGCTTTTGAGAGTGCCAATTTGCCCTTTGAAAATCCCCTGCTAGGGGTTGGGGCATCACATTTTCCACGTTTGTCATTTAAAGCAAACATATTTCGTTTAAGATGTAGCACCCACTCCAAATACTTTTGCCAATGTTGTACTGAATTTTCTGGCCTTTGCTGTTGGAAGGCCATAAGACATGAACAGCCTTTGTGGCACTCCCTAAGTGGACAGTATCTCTAGCCATGTTTCCATCTAATTGTCATGAGAATTTTAAGCGTGCTTTTGAAATGTCGCAAAAAAGTCACGAAAAATGTGTGTTTCAATCCGCTGGTTCGGAGCGAATAAATCAGGCTACGGCTAACGTAGTTACGTCAGTAGTTGACGTTACACATGGCTGTAATAAACAAGACATATGGGTTCCAAACCATAAACAAAACCAGTTGCATGAACCTGATGGCCATTAATCTTAGAAAAATGGAGAGAATTGCATACATCTCCAAATTATACTTTTAAACGCTATAATATCCTTTTGTGGGGTTCATCAATGGTGATAAATGATTTGAAGTATATATTTTATGAACATTTAGAGTCGTTAATATTTTATGACATTCAGTAGAAGTAGCATGAATCTCAATATTCAACCACCCAACCAAGATATTTGGGGTGGTGATGGTGCAGTAGATAAGACACATGCCTTTGGTGTGCGAGACCTGGGTTCAATTCCCCACCGTGACACATCCACCAATGTGTCCCTGCGCAAGACACTTAACCCCTAGTTGCTCCAGAGGCGTGTGACCTCTGACATACTTAGCAATTGTAAGTCTCTATGGATAAAAGCGTCAGCTAAATTAAATTTTCTTTCTTCTATGCTTGTTAACCCATGGTAAGCAAGTTTAATGTTTATAATATAGGATAGTTTGATATTTTCTTTTTGGAATTAAAAGGTGACATCTAATTTGTCCAGTTCTGAGGTGACAAAATTTGACAGGTGCTGTTTAGCAAAATTTCTTACTTGAAGATAACTGGAGAAAACTTGTGAATTGTATTTTTCATGTAGCTAGAAACAGGGAAAATCTTAAATATCATACATGTCCTCTACTAAATGAACACACTTAAGTTTCCATTGTAAGAAGGCAGAAAACACTGTAGACGATAAAAGAGAGGGGTTAAATGAAAGAGGATTTAAAAAGAAAAACCCCTTTTTAAATTGGGGGATCTCTTCATCTGGTTCTATATGCAGATATTCAGCCTTATTGTCCTGCCTTTAATAATCTTGCTGTAGCTGCCGTGGCTTTTCATGTGTTTCATGATGTGGAAAATGTGCTTTTATTGTACAGCAGCTCTGCCACGTCCCCTGGGCATACTTCGTCTAATATGGTGCCATAGGTTTCTTGACTGTGGTTGGTGGTAATGGAAGAGATGAAATCCACCCTTTTCAGCCATCGGGAACTTAATGATTTGCTGCTATTCTTGTCCTCAACCTGGGCTGTCAAGTTACAGATATTGATCTTAGTCATGCATTATCAATCAAAGAGATTAGTGCTTAGTTTCAGGGCTAGATGAATGAAAACAAGTTATCTTGACTTTGCTCTTATAACTCTGCAGGATTTATCAAGGAAAAGCCTTCCAGTTATGTTGGAACTCAATACCTCGCTAACTCTTAGTGTTAGGTAATGTTGGCACACTATATAGCTTTAGTTGACTTTATAAATCAATGTCATTTCATGTGTTCCCTGCTGAACCTTGTCATTTATCAGTTTACTTAACTGAAACTGTGTCCTCCTCCTTCTGTTTTTCAGCTACTGGAAGGCAGCTTCACGTCCCAGGTCAGCCACGAAGTCGATGGGCTTATCTTCCAGCCATGTGGGGTAAGCCTCCATCATATATGACAATCTGTCTTTTTTTTCAAAGCCGTAGCCCCGTTGCCACAGGTTGATTGTCAGGCACAGCTTTTTCTTCCTCCGAGCTCCTACGTAAGAATCGGACAGCTTGTCACTACCACCTGCCATTTGTCACTCTCTGTATCAGTCTTGCCCTGTGTTCTTGTAAAGGAACCACACTCCTACATGAATTCACATAAACACACGCCTCTCTGTAAAAGGCTGCACAGTAAAACGGACACATGGCCGGTTGTGTTACGACGGAAACGGCCTTGGTAAGAGTACTGATTTACTTGGTGTTAGAACAGCAGAAAATCACTTTTATCTGTGACAGTAATACTATTCCTTTTTTCTTCTCAAGTGATAGACTCAAGGGACATTATTCCACTGTGTAATGTATGAAATATCATAGCACACATTAGACTAACATTAGTCCAGGATTGTGACAGGTGGGTATATAAGTGATATTGAAGGTATTTTGAAATATGGAAGGCTGCGGCTAGCTATAGTGCCTATTGACTTTAATGCTGCTTGTAAAACATATCCTGAATAAGGTTTTTGCATATTATACTCAGCTTTGGCACATTATTTTTATGTTAAGCGCCCTGTATATCAATCTGTATCTAAAATCTCTTGTTACCTCTACTTTGTGAAGCATCTCCTTTATTTTACTTATTTGTATCTCTGGTAAATATGTTGACTTAAGCTGCTCGCACACTGCTCAGACAGCGGCAAACTAACACCTACATTATAAAGTTGGCAGTAGTAGGTTTCAGTCTTTAAAATGTTCAGAACCAACTGTCAGTTCACACTGACCAGCTAGGAACTGACCAGACAAACTTTTGTTGCCTATTTTTTCCTTATTCAAGTCACACGGTCAAGGCTGCAGTCACTTTTTGGCAAGTGGAAAACTACTTGTTACTGGTTGTATTGGCCCTTTTAATGGTATTTCAACAGGTTGAAAGGACTGGGTGAGCTATAATCAGCCATAACTGAAATATAACGCTCATAACTGAAATCAGTTCATTTTGAGAACCTTTTAGTCACAAGTAGGGAGGTGGAATCAGTTTTCTGGCAAGTGAAAAAGTGCATTAGCAATATGGGCTGTATTGGCCATTTAAATTTATTGCAATTGGTAATAATCAGAATCAGCGTCACAGTGAAATCACTGTATTTCTTCAGGAAGCTTAACAAGGCTAAATTCCCACGCCAAGTTCTTGTCAGCTTTTACAGAGGAGCAATAGAAAGCATCCTGACTGGAAACATCACAAACTGGCATGGGATGTGCACGGCCCATGACTGGAGGGCTCTGCAGCGGCTGGTTAAAACTGCTCAGAAGATCATTGGTATCCATCTCCTGAGCATCAGTGATATTGGTGAGGTGAGGTGCCTGCGCAGAGCCCAAAGGATACTAAAGTTTCAGCTGCCGCACCACCAGTCTGCAGAGCAGCTTTTTACCCCAAGCTATCAGACTCTTAAACTCTAATTCATCCTCAGCACTGCTCCAGTGATGATGGTATCCGTTTACCATTTTTCATGATTGATTCTTTATTAATGTATATTGTCTGCTATGTAGCAGAAGGGAGTTACAAAACTCACTTTCACTCATGTAACTTGTTATATTGTGACAATAAACCTACATACATAATAAGGACTGTTAAGCTATATTCTGTCTTTTTGGCAAGTGCAATACTACATTTCAACTGGTAAAAAGGTGGTTTGGTTGGCACAGAGCAAGCAAAAATCATGTCATATGGGTAATTGCAAGAGAGACACTTTATTTTATTTATAGCCTAACCCAGCTGTGAATCATGTTTCATCTGCAACAATAGGCTAATTGTATTGCTTATAATACTGTTATGTCAGGCCTGATAAACTGCAAACACTTCAACTGTGATTATTCCGTTACAAGAAACATTAACGTTTCACAAAGACATAACTTTGCTATCACGGACATAAAGTGATGCGTATTTAAACGTTATGACTGTTTGAACCAGATAAAAGCAGCTGTAGATGTACAGTGAGGAAAATATATATATAAGTTCTCCCACTTAGAAATCATGGAGAGGTCTGAAATTGTCATCGTAGGTGTATGTCCACTGTGAGAGACAATCTAAAAAACAAAATCCAGAAATCACAATGTATGATTTTTTAACTATTTATTTGTATGATACAGCTGCAAATAATTATTTGAACACCTGAGAAAATCAATGTTAATATTTGGTACAGTAGCCTTTGTTTGCAATTACAGAGGTCAAACGTTTCCTGTAGTTTTTCACCAGGTTTGCACACACTGCAGGAGGGATTTTGGCCGACTCCTCCACACAGATCTTCTCTAGATCAGTCAGGTTTCTGGGCTGTCGCTGAGAAACACGGAGTTTGAGCTCCCTCCAAAGATTCTCTATTGGGTTTAGGTCTGGAGACTGGCTAGGCCACGCCAGAACCTTGATATGCTTCTTACAGAGCCACTCCTTGGTTATCCTGGCTGTGTGCTTCGGGTCATTGTCATGTTGGAAGACCCGGCCTCGACCCATCTTCAATGCTCTAACTGAGGGAAGGAGGTTGTTCCCCAAAATCTCGCAATACATGGCCCCGGTCATCCTCTCCTTAATACAGTGCAGTCTCCCTGTCCCATGTGCAGAAAAACACCCCCAAAGCATGATGCTACCACCCCCATGCTTCACAGTAGGGATGGTGCTCTTGGGATGGTACTCGTCATTCTTCTTCCTCCAAACACAGTTAGTGAAATTATGACCAAAAAGTTCTATTTTGGTCTCATGTGACCACATGACTTTCTCCCATGACTCCTCTGGATCATCCAAATGTGTCATTGGTAAACTGAAGACGGGCCTTGACATGTGCTGGTTTAAGCAGGGGAACCTTCCGTGTCCATGCGTGATTTCAAACCATGACGTCTTAGTGTATTACCAACAGTAACCTTGGAAACTTTCAGGTCATTGACCAGCTCCTCCCGTGTAGTTCTGGGCTGATTTCTCACCTTTCTTAGGATCATTGAGACCCCACGAGGTGAGATCTTGCATGAGTCCCAGTCCGAGGGAGATTGACAGTCATGTTTAGTTTCTTCCATTTTCGAATGATTGCTCCAACAGTGGACCTTTTTTCACCAAGCTGCTTGGCAATTTCTCTGTAGCCCTTTCCAGCCTTGTGGAGGTGTACAATTTTGTCTCTAGTGTCTTTGGACAGCTCTTTGGTCTTGGCCATGTTAGTAGTTGGATTCTTACTGATTGTATGGGGTGGACAGGTGTCTTTATGCAGCTAACGACCTCAAACAGGTGCATCCAATTTAGGATAATAAATGGAGTGGAGGTGGACATTTTGAAGGCAGACTAACTAACTAACTAGCTGATAGACAGGTGTTCAAATACTTATTTGCAGCTGTATCATACAAATAAATTAAAAAATCATACATTGTGATTTCTGGATTTTTTTAATATTTAACATTTTGTGTCTGGACATATGTTTCTCTTTTGTTCTGACCCTGGATATGTAACATCTCTTCAGTCAAAGTAAATAATTAACAGGGTTTACAACTGCTGCCCCTACCGCTCAGGCATGGTGCTTTTCACGTCTCTTGTTTCGCTGGCCACAGCCCAATCAGAGATGTTAAATCAGGTATTTTGACACCTGCTTTGACTTTTTGTGGTTGGAGTTTTTGCAGTGCAGAGCTCTTTTGCCCTATGTGACTGTGGTGATTTGATTCTCCCCCAGTATAAATAGTGATTACCAAGATTGCTAAAACCCTTTTAATGTAGCTAATTTCCATGGGAGAGAATAAGCAGGTGAACTTCTAATTAAGAATACTCTTTAAGGAGTAACATATGGAGATGTTTCTTTTAGAATAGCTATATGTAATCCACTGACTTCCTATTGATTATGTAGATTTATATCAGAATTACAGCAGTAAACCTCTAGCTTGATCAACACAAACTCAAAAGAAGGAGCTTTGAAAGGCAGACTGAGTATAACTAAAAGACAGGACAGGAGGAAATTTGGCATTAACATGCAGTGTTAATTAACTTTATTTTAGAGGCACTGAAAGTATGTTTACTCCATATTTAATGTATTGGATGCAAAGTTACCAGGTGTCACATTAGCACCTAAGATGAATGTTAGTTGTTTTAAAGCAAAAGAAGACTTGGTTTCCTAGTTATTCTGCTCTAGTCAAATCAACATAGTATCAAAAAGTATATGCATTTTTCCCTCTTGTTGTGATTTGTGAAGTAATTATCATACAATATATAACTGTGGCTGTAGCCATCAGGTAGCAACTGTTCTCAGGAGAGCTGGCAGTGAACTTTGGAGGAGGCAGGTTTACACAGCTGTAACCTGAGCAGAGATGATCTGCTTCTCCGGGCAGACGTCTCTCCGACACTGCGTCACTGTCTTGATCAATAATGCAACTTAAATGCCTTAGTTTTGCAGGTGCTTGCAAATCCTTCCACTCTTGTTTTTTGTACAGTGTAATCTCTCCCCTCCTCTTCGGTTTTTCATATATTTGGTTTTTGCTTGTTTATGAAAAAGTGCTGTACCGTATTTCTCTTCCAGAGAAGGGGGCAGCTAATAAGATTGTGTTCTTATTTCCACAGTTGATTTCTGAACATTATTTTGAAGCATGTTTGGGGGAGAGAAATTAATTAGTTTAAAACAGGGTATGATCATTGGTTTCTTTTTTTAGCTGCAAATTATGCTTTTGAGAACATTATACACAATCCTGACCGGAAAATGGTTTTGGAGTGCACCTTTTGAGCCATTTTGATTTAGCATCATCATGTCCTCAGTATCCTCAGTGAATTGGATGGATCATGAGCAACTGGGCTAGAGGAGGATGCTGAAAGCCCTGTGGCCCTTTGGATGTAAGGACGAATGTGGGATTTATCGAACCGGCTGAGGAAATTGCAGCAACATCCGCATCCCAGTCACGTATGAAGAATACACTGTTAGGCAGTGTTTGTGATTTGTTTTGGCAG